AGGGTTGCGGTCCGTTGCCGGACACAAAAAAAAGACAAAAAGGAAAAAACAAACAAACAAAAAAAACCTTCCATTCTCTATTATAGTGTTCTGAATTTCAGAAGGAGAGAATAAAAGGAAGCGAAGTGGAGAATAGAGATGAGATTATAGTTTGCAACTTTTATGTCCTGGTACGGGTGGAAGTTTCAGAACTGGAGTTAGTCCGTCCTTGCTCTGTCAGGGCAGTTAGGGCAAGTTATCAAAACTCTGACAACCTCACTTTCCTGGTCTGTAAAATGGGGATAAAATATTAAGCACTTAACTTAAATGTTCTTGTGACTTCTAGGAGAAAAACTGGAATTGTGGAGACTTACTACATAGCCACGGTAATCAGTATAGTGTTGAATTGGGGGAGAAATAGGAAAACACACGTTAGCACAGATGATCTAACAGATTTGGTGACAGAGAACTCTCCTTGCAGCGTTCTTATATTTTCACCTGTGATTTAGTGCAGACTGTCTAGGGATGTTTCTGCTGGAGAGATCATCTCTCCTTGGCAAAGGGCTCTGACACTGGTTTTCCTCAGGGGCCCTTTACACAAAGATTCTCAGCATAAGAGGGGAAAGGAAGGAAGGGGGTGGAATTAGCAGGGGTGAGGGTATTTTCCCAAACCGGTAGAGTTTGCAAACCTCTCCAGGCAGATCCCGGTGTCTCCACCAGGGCTGCACGTGTCCTCCTCTGCTCCCCCGCTCAGCTCAGCCCTGCCCAGCACCCCTGGGGCCGTGGTGGCCCTCCCCTTCTCAGCTATGTTGGACCATGCTGCCTAATCCAGGCTGGGTTTGTGCTGTAAGCTTCAGCCATCCCTATAGACACACTTGGTGATTCTGAGGGACTCAGGGGGCATTTATTTACTCTGTATTTGTGTTTGCTTTGGGAGTTTTTCCTGCAGAACCAAGAGGGTCTGGTTCATCTGCTGTAGCAATCTGTGCTGGTGGCAGGCTCTGATGTGTAGGGGCAGCCCCTGAGCCTTCCCCCCGCCCCTCAGTGCAGAAGGCTGTCTTTGATCAAGGGCTGCCTCCTCGTGTAGGGTCACCCCACATCCGCCTCCCTGCTCCACAAAGGCACTTGTGCTAGATGGGAAGAGCCTCTTTTGGGGCAGATTCCAAGTACCTGGGGGAGGTCGGGGGACACTCAGGGCCAGGGCCTTACATGTGCTGTGCGACATCTGCGGCACGGTCTGCTGGGCCCTTCCCGGAGTATGTCTGGGAGGTGCTTCTGTTACGTCCTGGTGGGTTTGCTGCCCTCGGTTTCATACCCCCTGGGGTTCTGCCCTCCACAGTGTCCCTCTGTGCCCCACCGCATATGGCAGGCCTGTCTGGTTAGAAGAAAACAAGCACGTGGAAGAAAAAAAACATGCCAATTCTCTTTCAGATTTGATGTTTATGAAATGTGCACTGAAAGTAAAGATCCTTACTAGGGACAGACCCAACCAATCTCAGTCAGGGTGGGCTAGGAGAAGCCTGGAGAAGATCCCTGAGGCGACATGGATTAGATCAGCCTGAGAGAGTTCTGTTCTCAGGGTTTTATCTTGGACTTTTATCTGGCCAGTGAGATCTGAAGACTCTTTCGCAGCACTAGAGGGCAGAGGGCAGGACCAGTCCTGCTCTGGGTCCCTGTCAATCAAAGAGACGGGATAAAGAATCACTCATCACTCCAATCAAGTTTGCAAGTCCAAATTTCTAGCATACCTGAAGTTGTTCTGCTCCCAAATGGTGAACCAAGACGATCTGTACTGTTAGTTGCCTGCTATTCTGTGTTTCTGCTGTTTCCAACACTGACTCTGGAAGCATCTTCCTATAAAACAAGTGATCTGACCTGCCCTCCCATGACCTTTCTCAGTGTGAGTGGCCCAGCACCTGGTTCTTCCAACACTCTCAAATTTCTAAAGCAAAAGAGAGTGCTGGGTTTTTGTGAAGCATTGAATGGCTCTCTCCCCATAATCCGAGGCTCAGCATCTAGGACAAAGCAGGGTTCCTTCCAGATGAGAAATGCATTTTAGGGTGTAACTGGAATTCACTAAACTTTTCCGGATTTAGCACCGAGTGAAGCCCTCATGGCATTGAGAGTGTTTGGAATTTAACAATAATCCCCTGATGGAGGAAAGACATTCTACCACTTATGGGTTTACTTATGGGTTCCTCCACTTAAGGTCTTCTCATGGGTTCTACCACTCTACCACGCATGGATTCTATCACTCTGCGGCTTACAGGCCCCACTACTAATGGATCTACCACTCCTGGTTCCACCGTAGGGCCTTCTGGGTTACCAAGTTTCCTCCTTCCTTGCTCCCTTACGTCCCTTCCCCAGGCCTCCTCCACCACGTTTCTCCACTGTTTGATCACGAGAAAGGGAAGTTGGGGGCCACAGACCTTTCGTTTCCCCGGGCTCAGTTGGCTCTGTTACCCATTCTCTCTACACCTCCCTCTCCCCAACTCTCTCACCTCTCAAGAGGAGGACGATTACTCACAAAGACTCACCAAGCCCAGAAATAGCCAACCTATTTGTGGCTTAAATGCAAGCAGTTTTATTTTTACAGTGAGTTGCTGTATTTTCTCTAAGTATAAATCATTATCTACCACAAATGAAACTGCAGCTCCATCTGCGATAGTTCCTGCTTTGTTAGTGATGCCAATTAGTCACAAAACAATCGGCGCCTTCCAGCGCCCACTTAATCCGGGGGGAGAGAGAGCCGCCATCTCTTCCGGACCCCTCTGGCTAGCCGCCAGCCCCTTGGGACTCTCTCCCCCTACCTAGAAACCATCCGGCCACTCCAGCTTCCGGGTGGCTTGCTCTTCACTCACCTTGTGACTGTTACCAATTTCCAAATTGGGCAACTTGTCCTCTGCCAGCGTGGACAGACTTCTCTGTTCCGTGAGGAGCTAGAAAAAGCAAGCTGGTGAGGCCTCTGTTTTGTTGACTTAAATAATGACGTTGGAGTCTTCCTTCTAGTTGGTCACTCTGCCCAGGGTGAAATGTTCCTAAAATCTGGACAGTCCCCACTCGGAGAAGCAGCAAGTGTGGAACAGAGGAGCAGAGAGGACCACCGTCCCAGCTCATTCTCCTGCGTCCCCCTTTTCCATTGGGCTCTTATCCCTCCTGACCGGGACTCTGGAACCTTCCTACTCCGATCCCCTTTCCACCAAGCGCTCCTTCCTTTGCTTGAGACTGTCCCTGTCTTTTCAGTCTCTGACTGTCCTCTGGGAAGCGTAAAGTCCTCCAGGAGTCTGGCCTTCTCCTCTCTTGGAACATCAAACCAGGTAATGAAAGCGCATTTCCCACTGCCCGGCCCGAGCTCACCAGCTGCTGCCACGCGGGGCCACTTGCTGCCCCGGCCTCGCCTTGGTCCACCGCGGTTTGCAGGCTTCGGGGTGAGCCCCGGCTCCCCCTTTCTTCTGCCCTCCAGGAGCACAGAGCGCCGGGCGGGCTTCCCACAGGAGCAGTTCGACTCTGCCCTGTGCCTGCGGCCTTGCTGCTTATGAAAACAGTCTGGGGAAAGCTTCATACACTGGCTCCTAAGACTGCTTTCCCACAGAATCTGAAATTACCTTCTTGCCCATTTTGATGTAATTGGTCCCAGGAGTCCATGATCACTTTGACGCAGTGACTATGAAGGAACCTCTTGAAAAAGAGGGAACGCTGCCGTGAGCAGGGCTTGGCTACCTGCGATCCAATGACTTAGAGCTCTCCTGCTCGGCCTTGGGGCTTTACGTGGGGTCTGTTGAAAACAAAGGGAACAAGGGTCAGGGGAGAAAGTAATCGGACCTCGTGCTGCCGACTGCATGGGTGAGAATCCGTGTCTAACAGAAACAGCTGCTCCCAGGAAGGGTCTCGGAACCAGGCTGAGGAA